AAATGCTGGGTATATCAAAAATACAAAAATAAACAGCTCCATAGACGCAGATTTCCTGGTGACTATGATGACAAATCCATTCTAAATCGTGCAATCAAATACAAAAAATACTACGAAGCTAAATTAAAAGACATAACAAATACAATCAATTACAAAAACACTCAAGCAAAACTAAATAATTCAACAGACAAACTCAAAATCAATTATATTATTAACTAATTTAATTTTCGTTCATGTATGAAATCATGTGATTTAAAAAATAAATATATAATTACCTTTTTTTCATTAAATCTTCTTAAATCTTCTAACAAAAAAAATGTCTATCATTAAATCTAAATTAACAACAAAAGAAATCAAAAACAAACTCAAATATGAACGTGCTCATAAAAGAAAAGATCAAAAACAGATCGATGAATGGAATCACAGAGGAACTATCGAGGATTTTCTCAGTAAACACATTAATGTTAAAGTTGATTTGTTAGATAAAATTTTTATCGATGATCCAAATCTTTACAGAAACTTTTTACAAATTATCAATGAAATTTTATATTTAATTACCTGGTATCGGTATTTTGAGAAACGACAAAACCTGATAAACAAATATACTAAAATCAAAGAAGAAATCTTAAACGCACAAGATCCCAACGCATATGTAATTTCTTTATCAAAAAAATATGCGAAATACCAATTCAAACCTGAATTGTATCGAGACAAAAAATATTTCCTAATCGCCAAAGCAAAATTCGAATTCTATTGTTTAATAGTTAATAACGGGAAGAACCAGATATTTGAAGAATCAAACTTTAAAATAGTAAAAAACAAACAATACAATCAAGTTGATCCAAAAAAAAATTGGATAATTAGAAAATATAACAAGGTTATGGAATCTAATTCCAATTGTTTCCTTTTAGGAACAAAAACATATTATGAACATAAAAATGATATTATTAGTATTGACGATAATAACATGTGGATTCAAATTCTAAACCAGATAAACAAAATAATCGATCTTTGTAGTAAAAAATTCAAAATGAAAAATACTAATAGATTTTTAGTATTATTTAATAGAATGAAAAATAATATACGATCATCTCGAGATCCTAACAAATACATTATCAAATTATCAAAAAAATTTATTTCTTTCCAAATTAAACCTTTAAATTTCAAATTTAGACCAGAATTAATTCACGAACTAATCAGATTAAAAACATATTTTGTACATATTTACTATCAATAAAATCAATTTTTTTTCACTCAAAAAATAAACAACTTAAAAAGAAGCGCAGCTCTGGGCGCATCTTTTTTTTTTCACTTTCGCTGCCCCACAATTTTTTTTTTACACCAAAACATCAACTATACGCAGATTAGGGGCGATCTGCGTATATGATTTTTTGGTTTTAGCTCCGAAGGACCAGCCCAAGTGGCGCTTAAACGGATTTCAATTTATTTTTTTTTTTTTAAAAAATATACCAATAATAATAACAAAGAACAAATTTACAATTGTAAAAACAATTAATTTTACAA